GAGATCCTCACTCAGCCCAAGTGAGAGCCCCCGAGTGTGGGAGGGAGGCTGGGCCTGGGCTCCCAGGGACCCCAGGAGGCTGGAGGAATTGGGGGTCCTGGCCTCCCGAGACACTGGAGTTTATGAGGCTTGATGTCCTGAGTGGGGTGGGGCGGGAGCCCCGAGACCTGAGTCCTGGCCAGGTGGGACCTGTCCTGGGGGCCCTGAGTGGGGTGGGGCGGGAGCCCCGAGACCTGAGTCCTGGCCAGGTGGGGCCTGTCCTGGGGGCCCTGAGTGGGGTGGGGCGGGAGCCCCGAGACCTGAGTCCTGGCCAGGTGGGGCCTGTCCTGGGGGCCCTGAGTGGGGTGGGGCGGGAGCCCCGAGACCTGGGATGGCTGGAGCCTCCCCCGGGGGCTGAGCCGCGCCTTGTCCGGTAGCAGCCACACCTGGGCAGCCTGAGCCCCTTCTTGCTCACCTGCACCGCCTACTTCTTCCTCTGGATCCCTGAGGACCCGCCGTCCAGGGTGGGCGCCCTGGTCAAGTGCCTGCCGGTGCTGTGCCTGGTGGGGCTCCTGTGGGCGAGCCCCGGCTCTGGCTCCCGCCTGCAGGTGGCCCTGCTCTTCTCAGCCCTCCGGGATGTCTTCCTCATCTGGCCCGAGAACTTCTATGGTGAGCTGGGGAGCGGGCCGCACTGTCCCTTTCCGACCCCCACGCCAGGGTCCCCAGTTGCGGGGCGACTCTCTGATAGCCTCTGCCGGGAGCCAGAGGGCGTTCCCAGGCCCTGGGACCCAGCAGTGACCAGCACACACCCAGACCCCTGCCTCGGGGAGCTCAGCCGGACCTGGGCAGGTGTGCGTGGTGGGCGTGGAGGGAGGGTGGAGTCCCGGAGTCACAGTCTTGAGTAGGACAGCCTCACAGAGAAGGGGGTGCTGGAAGGATGGATGGTCTAGCCCAGTGGTCGGCAAACTGTGGCTCATGAGCCACATGTGGCTCTTGGGCCCCTTGAGTGTGGCTCTTCCTAAGCCTTAGGAGGACCCTAATTAAGTTAATAACAATGTACCTACCTATATAGTTTAAGTTTAAAAAATTTGGCTCTCAAAAGAAATTTAAATTGTACTATTGATGTTTGGCTCTGTTGACAAAGGAGTTTGCCGACCACTGGTCTAGGCCAGGGGTCAGCAAACTGCGGCTCGCGAGCCACATGGAGCTCTTTGGCCCCTTGAGTGTGGCTCTTCCACAAAATACCACGAGCGGGCACGCACGTACAGTATGATTGAAACATCGTGGTCCATGCGCAGAAGTCGGTATTTTGTGGAAGAGCCACACTCAAGGGACCAAAGAGCCACATGTGGCTCGCGAGCCGCAATTTGCCGACCACTGGTCTAGGCAGAGGGACCAGCAGGTGCAAAGGCCCTGGGATAGGTGTGCCCTTGTGTGTCCAAACAGACTCCATGCTGAAGCCAAGTGGGGAGCAGAGACGTGGGGGTTGAGAGATTTTAGAATTCTGAGCAGAGTAAGGACAGACCCTGGACAGCAGGGGCAGCGAGAAGCGGGACCACCAGGGGACCATGGGAGCTGGCAGGGGTGACGCAGGGAAGCGGCTCTCACGGGTGCCCCACCCCCTGTCCTCCAGGCGGCGTCGCCTGCGCCATGGCCCAGCTGCTCTATGTCCGGGCCTTTGGGTTGAGACCCCTGCGGCCCGACCTCCTGCTGCCCATCATCCTGGCCTCCCTCCCGTTCTCCGGCCTCCTGCTGCTGCACTTCTCCTCGAGCCTGGTCCTGCCCCTGTCGGCCTACGTGCTGGCCCTGTCCACCGTGCTGTGGCGGGGCCAGTGCCCCTTCCACCTGCTGTCCATCTTCCTGGCCTCCCTCCCGTTCACCGGCCTCCTGCTGCTGCACCTCCCGCCAGACCTGGTGCTGCCCCTGTCGGCCTACGCGCTGGCCCTGTCCACCATGCTGTGGCGGGGCCTGGCCAGGGGCGGGAGCGCCCGCTGGGGCGCCCTGCTCTTCGCTGCCTCCGACTCTCTGCTGGCCTGGCATACCTTCATCCAGCCCCTGGCCCACGGCCGCCTGCTGATCATGTACACCTACTATGCCGCCCAGCTCCTCATCACCCTGTCGGCCTTCCAGAGCCCCAAGCTCAAGACTGACTGACCAGGGGCCCCGACGGGCCGGCGTCCGCCTGCTCCCCTCCTGCAGGGGCCCGGGACCAGACGCCCGTGGGGGCTGGAGCCAGGCTCGCAGACTCGCCTGCAGGCCTCCGTCCACCTGTGGGAACCATTTGCAGAATTCCAGATGCACTGCCGAGTTCCGAACGCCTTCCCTTGGTTCTTATTCCGGGTTCCAGGCCCAGGCTGGGCCTCCCCAAGCCCCGCCCGCTCCTGTGACCACCGGGGCCCCCGAGTCTGTAGGGAAGCACGGGAGACTCGGCTGGAAAGTCTGTAAGGAGGAAATTCCGAAAAGGGACATGGGCTGAAGGCGGACACGCTGTTTATCGGAATTCCGACATGGAGTTTGGCCAAAGCGGCCGCCCCTAATTGTCCTGTGACCTTTCCCACCAAGTCCGTGCACGTGCGGCCCCCCAGGTGTTTGCCGGAATCCTTATGCTTAATCTTTGCATGTCCTTGCCTAGAGGACACTGCAGACACATGTGTCCTCCCAAGATTGCCCTACTGACTGTTTCTAAAAGGTAAACTGTATCTCAAACGGCTGCTGCAATAAAAGCCTGAGGAGGCAGGCGAACGGGGCTGTCTGGTTCGTTCAGCCAGGCCGTCCCTTAGCCTTCTCTTTCACAGCAGCCGTGTCAGAGGAGTCATTCGTCCGTCACTCAGGGGCCGCTGGTCAGCCCGGCAGGAGGCCGCTGGCCCCCTCCCTCTGGCCTTGATCAATTTCCCTGTTGCCTGAATAAAAGGGACAAGGAAACAACATCTCCTTTATTTGGAGGGGTGGGGGGAGGGGCGTCACAACAGCAAAAGGGTATTTCTCTTTTGGGGGTAATTGTGATTGTATTTCCTCCTTTTTCTAAAATATATTTTTTTTTTATTATTTTTTTTTTATAAATATATTTTATTGTTTTTTTTTTTTTTTTTTACAGCAAGGAAGGGAGAGGGATAGAGAGTTAGAAACATCAATGAGAGAGAAACATCAATCAGCTGCCTCCTGCACACCCCCTACTGGGGATGTGCCCGCAACCAAGGTACATGCCCTTGACCGGAATCGAACCTGGGACCCTTCAGTCCGCAGGCTGACGCTCTATCCACTGAGCCAAACCGGTTAGGGCTAAAATATATATTTTTTGTTAAGAGAGGAAGAAAGAGAAACATCAATGATGAGAGGGAATCATGGATCGGCTGCCTCCTGCACACCCCCTAGTGGGGATCAAGCCCACAACCCAGGCATGTGCCCTGACTGGAATTGAACCTAGAACCCCTCAGTCCGCAGGCCAACACTCTATCCACTGAGCAACACCGGCTAGGGTGGGGCGCCCTGGCTGAGTCTGGTCCTGCCACTTTCAGCCCCCGGCCGGGCAGGTCACTCAGGGCCTGGTCTCCTCGGGTGGGGTGCTCCTCGGTGCTGCGGGGCCCCCAAGGGAAGTGTCCGCTGAGTGGAAGAAAGAGGTCAGTTTTGAAGAATGAGCCCGTGATGCCCTGAGGCGGGCAGTGGGCTCCAGGGACGGGCAGGCGGGCACAGCTGAGACAGGGTTCCTGCTCTGCTTGGTCCCTTCGGGCACCTCTGCGAGGGCTGGACAGGCAGGAGGCGAGGGCAGGACGTCAGCTCTACGGATGGCCCCCAATGGTGGGCCTGTGCCGCGAGCGGGGAGTGTTAGCGAGTGGGGACGATGGCAGAGACACAGCTGTGGGTAGCAGATGGCCAGGGCGCGTGCGTGAGGGACGGAGCAGCAGGAGGCAGCCTGTCTCAGCCTCCTCCCCGCCCCTGCTCCTCCCCCAGCGCGCCTTTCGACAAGACGGCCAACATCACCTTTTCCCTCAACGCCGACGATGAGAACGTGAGTGGCGCCCTGGCCTCTGGGGGTGGGGGCTGTGGGCAGTGCCGCCCACCCACCCTGCCGCCTGCACCCCGCAGCCCAACACCAACCTGCTGGAGATTTGCTACAAGGACCGGATCCAGCAGTTTGATGACGACGACGAGGAGGAGGGCCAGGGCTCTGGGGAGTCTGATGGGGAGGACGGCGCCTGGCAGGGCAGCCAGCTGGCCAGGGGGCCCCGCCTGGGCCAGCCCCCAGGTGTGCGGTGAGTCCGCCCCAGCTCCTTTTCCGGGCCTTGCCACATCGCGGGGGCTGCGGGGGCCACGTGGAGCAGTTCTCATGGGCTCGAGGGCACGAGCAGCCCGTGGGATGGAGCCTGTGTGCCAGTTGGGGCCTCTCGGTGCTGAGGGATGGATGCTGCGCGCTGGTGGGTTAAGCTAAACAGGAGTCGGGTCACGGCTTGTGGCTGCAGCTCATGGGGGCTCCCACCCTCTGTCCCTGGACTCCGCTCTCAGGGCGGAGCTCATGCAGGTGTTCCCAGAAAGGCAACAGATGGTCCCACCAGCTGCCCCACCCCCTCATTTCAGTGACATGACAGGTGATGCTCTGTCCGGTGTGGCTCAGTGGATAGAGCATCGGCCTGCAGACTGAAGGGTCCCGGGTTCCATTCCGGTCAAGGGCTAATGCCCGGGTTGCGAGTTCGATCCCCAGTGGGGTGTGTGCAGGAGGCAGCCGATCCATGAATCTCTCTCATCATGGATGTTTCCCTCTCTCCCTCCCCTGTCTCCCTCCCTCTCTGAAATCAATAAAAATATTTTTTTTAAAAAAAGGACAGGTGATGATGGTCCCTTCCTCACAGGCCGAGCGTCAGGAAGCTGTGACCAGCTCCTTGCAGGACGTTGCGCTGTTCGTCCATACTGGCTGGCCCCGCGTCCCGGCCCCATGCGTGCGCCTGCCCTGGAGGGTTCCTGGTGGGAACAGCTCTGCCCTGGGGCTTCTGGTGGGAGCACTAGAGGGTTTTACCTTTAATGATGGGGAATGAGCATGCTTGCCTGCCCGGGGTCCCCTTAGTCATCCCAACATCATGTGTCCGCTGTTCAGCCCTCCTCTGTCCGTCCACGGAGGGGACCCCGCAGCAGCCAAGGGCCTGACCCTGTCCCCTATGATGGCGTGGTGGGTGCTGGGAGGTGGCCGGGGAAGCCGGGCTCTAGGCGTGCCTTCCAGGGGGGATCCAGTCCAAGAACAGACCAGGAGCCCTCACCCCCAGGCCCCGGGGAGCCTTGCTTCAGGGCCTCCCAGGCTGCCCAGGGCTGCGGGCCCCAGGCCGGTGGTGACCTCGGGGGGGCCAGTCGTCCTGGGCATTTGTTAGATCAGGAAGTGTTTGTGTGGAGGTGCTGGGGGGTGCAGGGCGGTGCAGGCCCCACAGGAGGGAGGCCAGTGCCAGAGGACCCAGCAAGGGGGGTTCAGGGGGAGGGAGAAGGGGTTCCTCCGCCGACCACAGGGTGATGGTGGCCCCGTCCCCTGGGGAAGGAGGCTGGGCCGGGCTGGGCGCGGGGCTGCGAGGGGAATTGGCCCCCACAGCCCACTGCGATGGGGAGGAAGCCTGGTCCCCGGGGTCCTGGGCAGGGCTGTGGGGGAGGAGGGACCCCAGCTTGGGACGGGCACCTTATCTGCGGGTGTCAGTGAGAGCCATCCCGGGGCTGTTATCAGCACCAGAGTCCACAGGACGCTCCCGGGTTAACGTGTAACCGCTCCCCGGCCCTCCACCCCCAGAGCCATTGGTGCCCCGGCTGCGGCCACTCTGCGTGGGGGTCTCAGGCTGTCATGGACGTCCGCAGAGAGAGGCCGCCCCGCAGCCCGCCCTCCTCAGCCCAAGTGAGAGCCCCTGAGTGTGGGAGGGGGGCTCGAGCAGGTCCTGGGCTCCCGGGGACCCCAGGAGGCTGGAGGAATTGGGAGTCTTGGCCTCCCCAGAGGGTTCTATGGGGCTGGATGTCCTGGGGTCCCTGAGTGGGGGTGGAGTGCGGGGAGCCCCGAGACCTGAGTCCTGGCCAGGTGGGGCCTGTCCTGGGGGCCCTGAGTGGGGGTGGGGCGGGAGCCCCGAGACCTGGGGTGGTTGGAGCCTCCCCCGGGGGCTGAGCCGCGCCTTGTCCGGTAGCAGCCACACCTGGGCAGCCTGAGCCCCTTCTTGCTCACCTGCACGGCCTACTTCTTCCTCTGGATCCCTGAGGACCCGCCGTCCAGGGTGGGCGCCCTGGTCAAGTGCCTGCCGGTGCTGTGCCTGGTGGGGCTCCTGCGGGCGAACCCGGGCTCCAGCTCTGGCTCCGGCTCCGGCTCCAGCGGGGGCTACAGCCTTCGCCTGCAGGTGGCCCTGCTCTTCTCGGCCCTCGGGGATGTCTTCCTCATCTGGCCTGAGAACTTCCTCTATGGTGAGCTGGGGAGCGGGCCGCACTGTCCCTTTCCGACCCCCAGGCTAGGGGCCCCGGGTGCGGGGGCGACTCCCTGATAGCCTCTGCCGGGAGCCGGGGGGCGTTCCCAGGCCCTGGGGCTCTGCAGTGACCAGCACACACCCAGACCCCTGCCTCGGGGAGCTCAGCCTGACCTGGGCAGGTGTGCGTGGCGGGCGTGGAGGGACCAGCAGGTGCAAAGGCCCTGGGGTGTGTGTGCCTGGTGTGTGCGTCCAAACTGACTCCATTCTGAAGCCAAGTGGGGAGCAGAGAAGATAGGGGTCGAGGGACAGTTCTGAGCAGAGTAAGGACAGACCCTGGACAGCAAGGGCAGGGGGAGGCGGGACCACCAGGGACCAGTGGGAGCTGGCAGGGGTGACGCAGGGAAGCGGGTCTCACGGGTGCCCCACCCCCTGTCCTCCAGGCGTCCTCGCCTTCGGCATGGCCCAGCTGCTCTACTCCTGGGCCTTTGGGTTCAGCCCCCTGCGTCCCGGCCTCCTGGTGCCCATCGTCCTGTACTCCCTCCCGTTCTCCGGCCTCCTGCTGCTGCACCTCCCGCCAGACCTGGTGCTGCCCGTGTCGGCCTACGGGCTGGCCCTGTCCACCATGCTGTGGCAGGGCCTGGCCAGGGGCGGGAGTACCCGCTGGGGCGCCCTGCTCTTCGCTGCCTCCGACTCCCTGCTGTCCTGGCACACCTTCATCCAGCCCCTGGCCCACGGCCGCCTGCTGATCATGGCCACCTACTACGCCGCCCAGCTCCTCATCACCCTGTCGGCCTTCCAGAGCCCCAAGCTCAAGACCCACTGACCAGGGGCCCCGACCGGCCGGCGTCCGCCCACTCCCCTCCTGCAGGGACCCAGGCCTTGCAGCTGGGCCCAGACGGGGAGCCGCCCGTGGGGGCCAGAGCCAGGCTCCCAGACTCCCGTCTGCAGGCCGCCGTCCACCTGTGAGAACCGTTTGCAGAATTCCGGATGCACCGCCGAGTTCGGAACACCTTTCCTCGGTTCTGGTTCCGGGTTCCAGGCCCCTCAACTAGGCCCGGGCTGGGCCTCCCCAAGCCCCGGCTGCTCCTGTGACCTCCAGGGGCCTTCAGAGTCCGCTGGCCCCCTCCCTCTGGCCTTGATCTATTTCCCTGTTGCCTGAGTAAAGGGAAGGAGGAAATAACATCTCCTTTATTTGGGGAGGGGAGGGGGGAGGCATGGTCAGATCACAGCAAAAGGGTATTTCTTCTTTTTCTTCCTTACAACAAAATTTTCCATTAAAAAAAATCCAAAAAAAATATCCATGTTTTTATTGATTTCAGAGAGGAAGGGAGAGGTAGAGAGAGAAACATCAATGATGAGAGGGAATCATGGATCGGCAGCCTCCTGCATGCCCCCTACTGGGGATCGAGCCAGCAACCCAGGCATGGGCCCTTTCTGGGAATAGAACCCATGACTTCTTGGTTCCTGAGTCAAGGCTTAACCAATGAGCCACACTGGCCAGGCAAAATTTTTCCTTTTTTAAAAAAAATATATATTTTATTGATTTTTTTTACAGAGAGAAAGGGAGAGGGATAGAGAATTAGAAACATGGATGAGCTGCCTCCTGCACACCCCCTACTGGGGATGTGCCCGCAACCAAGGTACATGCCCTTGACCGGAATCGAACCTGGGACCCTTCAGTCCGCAGGCCGACGCTCTATCCACTGAGCCAAACCGGCTAGGGCAGATTTTTCCATTTTTAAGTGAATGATTTGGTAACATTACGTTCAGTCACAGTGGTAGGCACTGAATTTTTTTTTTAAATATACTTTTATTGATTTCAGAGAGGAAGGCAGAGGGAGAGAGAGATCGGAACGTCAATCTGCTGCCTCTTGCACACCCACACGGGATGGAGCCCGCACCCCGGGCACGTGCCCTGATGGGGAATGAAACCATGAAATCCTGGTTCATAGGTCGATGCTCATCCACGGAGCCTCGCCTAGCCAGGCCTTTTATTGTTGTAGTGAGAACACTTACGGTGAGGGTCACCCTCAGGGCACATTTTTGTGTGCACCAGGCAGTATTGTTGGCTATACACACAGTGAATTTGCCCGGGGCCCAGGGCGTCAGGGACATGGACTCACTCCCAGGGGCTTTGATGGCGGTGGGAGGAGGGATTCCTCTGTCCACGGTCGGGATGAGGTTCTAGACCTGAGGCCAGGAGGACACTTTGGCCCTTGTGTGTGTTCCTGTGGCTGCCGTCACAAATGACCCCACACGGGGGGCTTAAAGCATCAGGAGTTTGGCCTCTCACAGTTCTGGAGAGTAGACGTCCAATGTCAAGGTGTGGGCAGGGCCACAGGGCACCCCAGGCCCTGGGGAGGGTCCTTCCTGCCTCTCCAGCTTCCGGTGGCCCCAGCGGCGCCCCCCCTCCCCCCCTGCCCGCTCTGCACCCCCCCTCCCCGAGTCCCTCTGACCTGGGCCTCCGTGTTCACACGCCTTTCTCCCTCTGTGTCCCCCCCCCCCCACGGACATCGGTGGTTGGACGTAGGGTCCACCCTAAATCCAGGATGATCTAGTAATTATGTCTGCAAAGGCCCGGGTTCTAAATGATGCCACCGGGTTCTAAATGAAGTCCCCATCCATAGGGACCGGGACTTAGGACTTGGATACCTGTTGTTGTTTTTTTGTTTTGTTCTTTATTGTTATTGAGTTCAGAGAGAAGGGAGATAGAAGCATCAATGATAAGAGAGAACCATTGATTGGCTGCCTCTTGCACGCCCCCTACTGGGGATCCAGCCTGCAACCTGGGCATGTGCCCTTGACCTGAATCAAACCTGGGACCCTTCAGTCCGCAGGCCGACGCTCTATCCATTGAACCACACCGGCTGGGGCTTGGACACCTGTTTTTAGGGGACACAATTTACCCCACTGCAGTGACAGACAATACCAGGAGAGGAGGTGGGGAGGTGAGGAGACTCAAAGATGAGGGGTCTTTAGGAAGGGATCACAAGCAAGGGGGTGAGAACAGAGACCTAAGGGAGGAAGACCCAGGTGTGGCCCTTGTCCTGCCTGTGACCTTGGCAGCCCACTGGCCCTCTCTGGGCCTCAGGGTCTGCATTTGAGGACATGAAGGGGTCAGAGCTGCTCTCCAAACCCTGCCTGACTTCTACAGCTAGGATGTGTCCTAAGGGGCTCTTACAGCAGAGAGGAGGCTTTTTCACCCAGGACATGCCTTAGGGGACTCTTACAGCAGAGAGGAGACTTTCCCACCCATGATGTGCTTTAGGGGACTCTTACAGCAGAGAGGAGACTTTCCCACCCAGGACATGCCTTAGGGGACTCTTATAGCAGAGAGAATTCTCCACCCAGGACATGCATTAGGGGACTCTTATAGCAGAGAAGAGACTTGCATCCATAATATGCTTATAGGGCCCCCCAGAGCCCACCCCTGATTTTTAGTCCCTGCTCCACCTTCAGGCCAGAGTCCCACTCACCACAGAGAAAGCCGTGGGCCTGATGAGGCATGACTGCGCGGCACAGCCTGGAGAGGGGCAGGTGGTCCGGGCGGGCAACCCTGCTCTTCTCACTCTCAGATGCCCTGTGGGCCTGGGATGCCTTCATTCAGACCCTGCCCCCCACCCCCCACCCGCATGGTCCCAACCACCTGCTATGCTACCCAGGTCCCCATGACCCTGTCCTCCTTCAAGAGTGGGGGGCTCAGGACGGACTACATGGGGGTAATAAAGTGAGCACCTTCTCTCTTCCCCTCTGAAAGGGACCCCAAAACCAGCTCCCGCCCCAGCGGAAAGTGCTACGGAGCCACATTCCACCTCCATCCTTCCGTCCGTCTGTCCCTCTGTCTCAGACCACGCCCTATCATTTTCGCGCACAGGCCTGCTTCCCCCTGCGGTCTGTGAGGGACTGAGCCTGTCCCCCAGCTGCTGGCGGCGTTGGAGTCCTCAGCGTCACCAGGGCCAGCCCTTCGGAGCAGCCATCGCCCCCTGTCACTCAGCCCCTTCAGGTCAGGGGTCTGTGGGGCATTATTTGGCCTTAAATAGGACTGAAGCTCCGTTACACCTACAAGATGCCTCCTCGCCTTTGGAAACCTTCCCCGAGTGAAAGAGGCCCCTTCCAAAGGCCCCTGTAGGACGGGATGTCCTGGCCAGGGGAGTCAGGAGACAGAGCAGGGTAGGGGCTGCCTAGGGCTGGGGGTGCGGGTGGCAGGATTGGGGGGTGGTAGCTAAATGCAGAGACTGGCCCAGCTGGAGTGGCTCAGTGGTGGAGCATCGACCTATGACCCAGGAGGTCAGGGTCCGATTCCAGGTCAGGGCACATGCCCGGGTTGCAGGCTCCATCCCCAGCAGGGGGCGTGCAGGAGGCAGCCAATCCGTGATTCTCTCTCATCATTGATGTTTCTCTCTCTCTCTCCCTTTCTCTCTGAAAGCAATAAATTAATATATATATCTTCTCTCATAATAAAAGCATAATATGCTAATTAGACCAGATGACCTTCCAGGTGTCCTTCCAGACGACCTTCCAGAGGAAGCTGGGGCTGCCAGGGAAGCCTGGTCCTGGGTCCTGGGTGCCAGAGGAAAGCCGGTGGCGACAGCCAGGGGAAGGAAGGGCCTACTCTTGCATGAATTTCGTGCACAGGGCCTCTAGTATATATGTATTAAATTGAAAGAAAGAAAGAAAAAATTTAAAGAAAGGCAGTGATGGCTTTACCAAGGACAAGGACCCCGGGTGTGGTGGCTGCTTTGGGGAACTGAGCTGGGGGCCTGGGTGTCACCAGGGCCCTCCCTTCCCCAGGCCGCCCCCCGAGTTCAGCTCTATTTCTTCCTCAGTCAGTGAGAGGGAAGCCAGGACCACCGCCCCCCCCCCCCGCCCCCTTTCCCCGACCCCCGCCCCTACCCCCATCCCCAGCGCCGCATCCTCCCGCAAAGTGGCGTGGCGGGGCGGCCCCATGTTCCCTGGGTCCCCGAGCCTGGCCCCCGCCCGCCGGGAGGGCGCGAAGGGAGGGGCGCGAAGGGGGTCCCCGCTGGTTCCCCAGGGCCAGGCGCAGGGAGCCCGGGTCCGGGGCGGGCAGGGGGGCGGGCGCAGTGCGCCTGCGCGGAGCCAGACCGGGTCGCGGTCTCCGGTGAACCCGCCGCGCAGAATCCAGTCCCCACGCAGCCGCCGCGGGCCCAGGGGCAGGAGGAAAGCCCCCCCACTCCCCCGGGGGCCCCCGCGCTGCTCGGAGGGCGCGGAGCAGACACTTGCTGGGGAGCTGCCGCCGGAGGGGCTCCGTGCCCGGGGCGGCCGGGCCGATGCGGGGAGGACGTGCCAGGCGCTGGGACCCGCACGTGTGGAGCCTCCGGGGTCTGGAGCCGCCTGGGGTGCCCGCCCCCCAAATGCAGAGCCGCAGGGCAGCGGGAGCAGCGCCGGGACGGGCGGGGCCCGGGAGCGCGCACCCCCCCCCCCCGCGCGTCCCTCGGGGCAAAGGAGGGTCCAGAGGCCGCGACCCGGGCCGAGGGCGGGCGGGGCGCTCCCGGAGCTCCCACTTCCTCCTCCGCCCTCCCGACCCGACCTGTGGCCTCGCGGCCCGGGCTGGGAAAGGGAAATGCCTGCGCTTAAAGTCCGGCAGGTGGAAGGCCGCGCTCTGGTCACCCGGGTCCCTCCGAGGCCGCAAGGATCCCGGCGGGCATGACGGGGGCGGGAGGGGGCCTCGGGGCCTGGGGGCGCCTGGTGCTGCTGGTGAGTGGGGCCTCCGGGGCGGGGGGACCGGAGGGGGGCGCCAGGGCGGGATCTGAGGGGGGGGGGGCTGGTCCCTGAACTCGTGTCCTGAGGAAAAGGGTGCAGGTTCCCCGGAGAAGCAAGCTGGCGTCCAGGTTCCGGGAGATTGTTGGGGAGTCTCACACCTGGGCTCTCAGGTGTGTCCTGTCCCGGGTGAGAGTAAACTCTGGGTGAGGAAGACCCTGGAGTCCCGCCCCGGGCCCCTCCTCCCTCAGACCCAGGAGCCCAGGCCCCCAGCCCTCCTCCCTCAGACCCAGAAGTCCAGGCCCCCAGCCCCTCCTCCCTCAGACCCAGGAGCCCAGGCCCCCAGCCCCTCCTCCCTCAGACCCAAGAGCCCAGGCCCCAGCCCCTCCTCCCTCAGACCCAGGAGCCCAGGCCCCCAGCCCCTCCTCCCTCAGACCCAGGAGCCCAGGCCCCCAGCCCCTCCTCCCTCAGACCCAGGAGCCCAGGCCCCCAGCCCCTCCTCCCTCAGACCCAGGAGCCCAGGCCCCCAGCCCCTCCTCCCTCAGACCCAGGAGCCCAGGCCCCCAGCCCCTCCTCCCTCAGACCCAGGAGCCCAGGCCCCCAGCCCCTCCTCCCTCAGACCCAGGAGCCCAGGCCCCCAGTCCCTCCTCCCTCAGACCCAGGAGCCCAGCCCCCCAGCCCTCCTCCCTCAGACCCAGGAGCCCAGGCCCCCAGCCCCTCCTCCCTCAGACCCAGGAGCCCAGGCCCCCAGCCCCTCCTCCCTCAGACCCAGGAGCCCAGGCCCCCAGCCCCTCCTCCCTCAGACCCAGGAGCCCAGGACCCAGCCTCAGACACCAGCAGACCGGGTGTCTGGCCTCTGGTTCCCAGCCTGTCTCTCCCCTGTTCCTAGTTTGTTGATGACTTTTCTGTTCCTTTTAGTATGATTACTATTTATTTTTACCAGCAATACATTGTTTACTTTTGTGCTCCTAGTCGTCCATACTTTTCGGGAAGTGAAACCATTCCCTTATCTCTGGGCCCTGCCTTATCCCGGCAGGTGGAGGCCGGGGCAGGTGTCCATCCCAGCTCCTGGGTCCCTGGAGCCCCGCCTCTGCCCCTCCCTCCCCACACACCCAGAAGAGGCAGCTGGCCCTGGGGTGACCTTTGTCAAGGCTGAGCGGGAGGGGGGGGGTCTCCTGCAGTGTCCCTCCCCCCCCGGCTGTGCCTCTGGGGGGGTTGAGGCTGGGAGGGTGCGGCTGCCCCCAGCCCCACAGTCTCACCTGGGCCTGGAGGGGAGGCTGGGCTCTGACTCACCCCTGGGCTCCCCCCAGGGCCTGTGCATCTGGACCGGAGCCAGGACAGCTGGTGAGTGATCCTTGCTGAGTCCACCACCCACCCAGAGAGGTAGCACCTCAAGACTCAGGCGTGAGTTTTGGGGGGTAAGGGGGGTCTCCATGGAGGGCGCCAGGATCCCTGGCAGGTTCTGATGGGAGGGGTCTATCTGGCCTCCGGAGGGGATTAGGGACCCAGTTTGCTTCCCGATTCCCAGCACCCAAGGCCACCGTCAGGAACCTGACTGTGAAGCATCAGACCAGCAGCTCCATCACCCTGCGCTGGGAGCCCCCGGAAGACCCCACCCTGCAGAACTACACCTACTGGGTCAGGTGCAGCGGAGACGGTGGCAAAGATGAGACCCAAAAAACAACAGACGTCACTTACACGGCGGAGGGACTCAAACCCGCGTCCCGCTATGAGTTTTCCGTGTGGTGGGAGGGAGGTGGCGCCAACAGCTCTGAGGCGACCCTCAGTGCCAGCACAGGTGAGAGCAGCCGCTGCTTAGTCTGTTGTGGCTGGTTGTTCTTTTTTTTTTTTAATGTGTGTGTGTGTGTTTTAAAAAAAACTTTTTTAAAAAGATTATTTACTTTTTAATCCTCACCCGAGGATATCTTTCCATGGATTTTTAAAGAGAGTGAAGAGACAGAGAGGGAGAGACAGAGAGAAACTTTGGTATGAGAGAAACACATCGATGGGTTGCCTCCTGCACGCACCCCGTCCAGGGCCTGCCTGGGGAGGAGCCTGCAACCAAGGCACATGCCCTTGACCGGAATCGAACCCGGGACCCTTGGGTCCACAGGCCGACGCTCTACCCATTGAGCCAAACCGGCCAGGGCGGTTGTTTGGGTTTGGAAGGGGGTGTCTGGTGGGGCTGGAGCACCCACAGGCGAGCCCGGCAGGTTCCTACACCCACAGAAAGAGGATGGGGGCCCCGCCTGTACGTGCCAGGGTTCTATCAGCCACATTGGCCACAGTCAGAGGAAAGGGGACAAGCGCTGTAGAGAGCGAGTTCCTTTAGCTCAAGTGGAGTCAACGAGTCATCCTTGTGACCTGTGGCCCGTGTAGTACGGGAGGACCGATGAGAGATTGTACAGGCTCACCTTCGTCCCAATTCTTCGCGCTCCGTGTGTGTATCCGTTATGTATTCATTTGTTTGTTTATCCGAACCCCGGGGTATGTCTATTTTTATTTTTTAAAGTATATTTTTATTGATTTTACAGAGGAAGGGAGAGGGGGAGAAAGATAGCAGCATCAATGATGAGAGAGAATCATTGATCCGCTGCCTCCTGCCTGCCCCACACCTGGGATGGACCCGGAAACCCCTGCCTGTGCCCTGACAGGGAATTGAACCATGACCTCCTGGTTCATAGGTAGACGCTCAACCACTGAGCCACGCCGGCCGGGCACGGCTGCCATTTGGACTTGAGGGTCTAGCCACCGCCCCAGGCTTCCTGGGCCCAGCGGGGAAGGTGGCCTGGACATGTGGCCCCAGAGTCCACAGCTGATTCCCTCTCCTGTCCCCTCCTCAGCCCCCAACCCCGTCAGGGACCTGACCGTGGAGAGTCAGACCAACATCTCCATCACCCTGCGCTGGGAGGCCCCAGACCCCCAAAGCTACACCTACTGGGTCCAGTACACGGGAGACGATGGCAAGAACAAGACAGAGAACACGACAGACGTCACGTACACGGTGCAGGGACTCACCCCGGCAACCTCCTACCTGTTCTCCGTGTGGGCGGAGAAGCACGGAGTCCCCAGTTCCGTGCAGACCCAGGAGGGCTCCACAGGTCAGCCGCACCCTGTCCGATGGCTGGGTTCCCCCTGGGGGTGGGAGGAGGTGGCTGGGACCCGGTGGGAGCAGGGCCAGCCCAGGGCAGCTGACAGGTCATTGGGTCTCCGTGGGCCGGACCTGCAGCCGGGCCCCGGGAGAACCGGCCCCAACCCTGGGACTTCCTGCCTCGGAGTTAGGGCTGGGAGCTTTCTAGACCATCATGCTAGTGGGGGGAGGGGGGTGTCTCTGCTTAGCACCCAGGGAGGGGGCGGGGGCAAGGGCCACACTGGGAACTGGAGGGTCAGCGATGACCGGCTCCACTGCGGACACTGAGCCTTCCTCCTGCCGCCTCAGCCCCCAAACCCTTCAGGGACCTGATCGTGGAGAGTCAGACCACCAGCTCCATCACCCTGAGCTGGACAGCTCCCCAGGGCCCGGATCACCCTCCCTACACCTACTGGGTCTCCTGGACCATGGAGGGTGGAGTTGCCACGGGGACCCAGAACACCTCGGATACCAGGGTCACAGTGGACGCAATGCAAGCTGGGACCCTGTACACCTTCATCGTGTGGGCGGAGAGGAACGGGGTCAGCAGCAGCAGCGAGACCCGCACGGGGGCCACAGGTGAGACCCCGTCTAGGTCCGGGCCCAGCATACTGGGCTGTGGGGAGAGTGATGGGGGCCTGGTGTGAGGTTCCTGGGAGACGAACTTTGCTCGGCGACCCCTCACCGACCTCATCAGACCTTGAGCCTGTAGGTCTGCCTCCCAGGGGGTGTCTGTCCTGAGCGACCCGGGTTTTCCGGTTGGAGGGTCCATCTTTGGGGACAAAGAGAGCCCATGGCTGTCCAGGAATCAGTACAGTCACCAGCTAGACCAGTGGTTCTCAACCTTCTGGCCCTTTAAATACAGTTCCTCATGTTGTGACCCAACCATAAAATTATTGTCGTGGCTACTTCATAACTGTAATGTTGCTACTGTTATGAATCGTCATGTAAATATCTGATATGCAGGATGGTCTTAGGCGACCCCTGTGAAAGGGCCGTTCGACCGCCAAAGGGGTCACGACCCACAGGTTGAGAACCGCTGAGCTAGACGGTCACCCACAGCTTGTCCTGGTGAACTGCTGGGCCCAACGAGGCCCTGCCTCCCAGCCGGCAGGTGTGGGTCCCAAGAGTGAGAGGCAACAGAAGACCCCAGGTAGTAGGTGCCCTGCAGATGCACGGGACCTGGAACTCTTCAGTCTTTGGCCATTTGGGCTAAGAAGACTGAAGTCAACAGAAACGTCTAGGAACTGGTTGTGTGTGGAAGGGTGGTGAGTGGGACTCAGGTATGTGGACTTAGGACAGAGAGGACCCAGCGACCGTGGTCCCCACCTCTTGGGAAGTATGCGATCCGATGGCGGGGCACCTGCAGGGAAGGGGAGGTGAACAGACTCGCTGTGAGGGGCCTTGGGGATCCGCCCCTTGAGTTGTCTGTCTCAATTCTCAGCTCCCAACGAGGTCACAGCTCTGCAGAAGGAAACTCAGACCAACAACTCAATCGCCCTGCGGTGGGAGGCCCCAGCAGACCCCCGCTCTCAGCTCTACATATACTGTGTCCAGTGGGCCGGTGGGGGACCTCCTCAGAGGGAAGGAGACCCCCAAGGACACCAGGTCGACCAGATAGCCAGGACCAAAGAGACTTGGTATGTGGTGAAGGGCCTGGAACCCGGGACTCCATACAACTTCAGCGTGTGGGCGGAGAGGAGCAACGTAGCCAGTTCCACACAGAGACTCCGCGCATCCACATGTGAGATGAGCCCCCTTTTATCCCTTTGCGGGGGTGGGGAGGCTGAGTGTGTGGATGAGAAGTGAGTGGACTACAAATCCCATCAGGCCATGGGGCCCTGACTGTATAAGCTGCAGTGATCCCGAGCGTCAGAGCGCTCATGGGCGTTGTAGTTTGTGGGGACCTGTTGGGAGTCCGTTTGGGAATTTAGAGAGTGAGGGGTGAAGAAGTATTTGGGTTTGGGGAAGGGAAAGATGGGCTCCTTGTCGCGGTCACAGAATTGGCATCCCTGGCGGTGAAGCGGGGGAGGGAGGGAACACCATCTTGGCTGGCACCTACCGAGTCCTCTTGTCTCCGCCTCCCAGACCCGGACCCCGTCACCATCGTCTCCTGCACCAGCATCTCTGGTGGCTATGGGGTCTCCCTGACCTGGACCTGCCCCCGGGGCGGCTATGAGGCCTTTGAGCTGCAGGTGGGCTGGCAGCAGGTCTCCCGGGACAACGCCTCCTGCGGGAGGGACGTGTCTGTGTCGGACCTCCAGCCGGCTCAGTCCTATGCAGCCACGGTCAGGACCATCTGGGACGGACTGAGGGCCCCAGCTGCCTCCGTGACCTGCCACACGGAGAGTGCAGGTGAGCACAGCCCCAGGGGACACACAGTCTCTCCAGGCCCCCTCAGGGCCTGCGCGGAGGGAGTCTGACCTACCCAGGGGGTCCTTCTTGTTTGCTCGTTTGTTTTCTTTTCTGCTGTCTTTAAAAGAGTTTTATTTATTTTTTAATTTTTATTTATTGATTTTAGAAACAGAGGAAGGGGGAGAGAGAGAGGGAGAACACTGAATTTTGTGGTTCTGCTTATTTATGCATTCATTAGTTGATTCTTCTAAGTGCCCTGACCTGGGATTGAACCTGGGACCCTTCAGTCCGCAGGCCGATGCTCTATCCACTGATCCAAACCGGCGAGGGCACGACTCACCCATATAAAGTGTGCAATGGTGCCCTGACCGGTTTGGCTCAGTGGATAGAACGTCAGCCTGGGGACGGAAGGGTCCCAGGTTCGATTCCGGTCAAGGGCATGTACCTTGGTTGCGGGCACATCCCCAGTGGGGGGTGTGCAGGAGGCAGTTGATCGATGTTTCTCTCTCATCGATGTTTCTAACTCTCTATCCCTCTCCCTTCCTCTCTGTAAAAAAAATCAATAAAATATATTAAAAAAATAATACAGTGTGCAATGGTTCTAAGTGTACCGGCGGTGTTATGTAACCATCACCAGTATCAATTTTAGAATGCTTTTATCACCCTATAGAGAAAAATTACCTTCATATACCATCCCACCCGAATGTCCTCAATTCCCCAGCAACCAGGCCTAGGGAATCTCTAATTTACTTTTTTGTCTCTATAGATTTTCCTATTTTGCACCTTTCCTGAAAATACAGTCATACGCTGTGTTTTTCTGTGACTGCCATCTCTCACTTAGTATAATTTTTAAAAATATTTTTATTGATTTTAGGAGGAAGAAGGAGGGAGAGAGAGACAGAAACTTCAATGATGAGAGAGAATCATGGATCGGCTGCCTCCTGCATGTCCCCGACTGGGGACCAAGCCCGGCATGTGCCCTGACCAGGAATCCAACCGTAACCTCCTGGTTCACAGGTCGATGCTCTAACCACTGAGAAAACCAGCCAGGGCTCACTTACTATGGTTTTTAAAAAAATATTTTTATTGGTTTCAGAGAAGAAGGGAGAGGGAGAGGGAGAGAGAGAGAGAAATATCCATGAAGAGAGAGAATCGTTGATCGGCTGCCTGTCACTCACCTCCTACTGGGGATCGAGCCTGCAAACCAGGCCTGTGCCCTTGACCATGGAAATCGAACCCGGGACCCTTCAGTCCATAGGCACGTCTATCCACTGAGCTAAACCGGCTAGGGCTCACTTGTAGCACTGTTGTCACTGGGGCTGGATTATTCTTTGCTGTGTGGGGCTGTCCCCCGTGCGTTGTGGAAGGCAGAGCTGCTTCCCTGGCCTCCACCCCTTCAACACGAGTGGTGCCACCACCCCAGTGGTGACAAGCCACAGTGTCTCTAGACCTTACCCATGTGGCCAGCAGGGCAGCATCTCCCTTGCTGAGAACTGTTGGTCTGGGCCAAGCATGTCAAACACAAAGGCTACCACGGGCCAGATAAACAAGGTCTAAGTGGATGTGGCCGCAAAAAAACAAAAGCTTCCATTTTCATAGGAACCTAGGTTTATGTCGATAGAGACATGCTGAATGCAAAGGGGTGAAGTAAATGAGTCATTGTTAACATAAAATAGTAGAACATTTTAATCAAAATTAGTATTTTTTCTTGAACATGAACTTCCCAGACACTGAAGAACTGCACAAATTCATAAGCGTCATGCAAATAAACCTATTTTTCTTGTTCTCCGAAAGCGAAATAGTTCCTGTTGTGCACCCCAAGCAAGTCAGTCCAAGACTAATTACGTGGCCATCGGCTGCTAAAATATTCGCTGCCGGTATTAGTGGAGAGAAATGGTATGCCTGCGCATAAGGCACGTAAGGGAAATGAATGCAACACGATGATAGTCATCAGTCATTAGTGAATGTTGTAGCTCACTATTAATAACCAGAGGCCCGGTGCACAAAAATTTGTGTACTCAGGGGGGTCCCTCAGCCCGGCCTGTGCCCTCTCGCAGTCTGGGACCCCTTGGGGGATGTCCACCTGCTGGCTTAGGCCCGCTCACTGAGGGTTCGGGCCTAAGCTGGCAGTCAGACATCCCTCTGGCAGCCGGAGTCCTTGGAGGATGTCCACTTGCCAGCAGGGAACAGGCCTAGCTGCAGTTGGACATCCTTAGCGCTGCTGAGGAGGCTGGAGAGGCTCCCGCCAACACCGCTGTGCTGGCAGCCGTCAGCCTGGCTTGTGGCTGAACAGAGATCCCCCTGGGGCAGCACACTGACCACCAGATGGGCAGCTCCTGCATTGAGCGTCTGCCCCCTGGTGGTCAGTGTGTGTCATAGTGACCAGTGGTTCTGCTGTTAGGGTCAATTTGCATATTATCCATTTATTATATAGGATTATGTATCAACAGGATATTGTAAAAAGTAAGTTATGAAATTTTTATTAAACCGTCCCTTACATGCCGTTATATTGGCTGGGCCACAAAAATATTCATTGTTGGCTGCTTGCGGCCCGCGGACTGTGAGTTTGACATGCTTGGTAGGCCTAGGAGGCGAGTGGCCTTTAGTAACCAGGTCACCTGAGAAAAGGATGCATTTGGACCAGGCTCCTGGGGGCTGAGAGATGGAGAGGAAAGGTTGTGGGGGAGATGGGGCTCTCTCCAGAGGTTTCACCTTTATTCTCTCTGCCCCAGCATCTACCCCATAGGCCCTCTGGTCACAGTCTGGGTGCAAAGATAAGGCCCAGCTGGCGTGGCTCAGGGGTTGAGCATTGATCTGTGAACCAGGAGGTCACGGTTGAATTCCTGGTCAAGAGCACATGCCCAGGTCCAGGCTCCATCCCCAGTGAGGGGCGTGGAAAAGGCAGCCGATCCATGATTCTCTCTCATCATTGATGTTTCTCTCTCTGATCCCCTCTCCCTTCCTCTCTGAAATCAATAAAAACATTTAAATGTAACAAAGGTGGAGGCAGGAGAGATGGGGTGTCAGGAGCTAGGAGGGCTAGGACCTAGGCCCTAACGGCTCCCCATGCCTCCTCCCCCAGGGGTCATCGCCGGGGCCGTTGTCGGGGTCTTACTGTTCCTCACCCTGGTGGGCCTGCTGATCTTCTTCCTGAGGAGGTGAGACTCCGTGCAGGGCTGGGCCGACTGAGCGCCCAGAGGTGGGGGCCGGGGCGGGATCAGTCC